GACAATTTTGCTGCTGATTTTACAAAGCAAGTGATCCAGTCTACATGCATTGTGTAAGTCCTGCTGAACACAGCTCAGTACAAGGTAGGGATGTGATTCTTTCTAGTGATCTGTCTACTTGTAATAGTTTCAGTTTTAGACTTACATTGTGGTTTTGTCAGAATGAAATACAGCTGAACTCTGCTGTCAGTATGGGGATGAAGTGGGTATGGAGCAAAACTGGGCTGGAAAAACAGAGAAAAGTCATAATCTTATGGAAGAAATAGGTTCAGATTAAGTAGCTCTAGTTTGTGAACTCGTGGAAAGATTATGGGGTCTTCCCTAGGGCCACACAGTCCCATTCAGCATCATACCTGTTGATGCCTAGACCTCTTTACTAGAAAGCAGTACTCCAGCTTTTTGTGAGGAAACAGCTCCCTGATGGAGATCTGCTGCTTCAGACGTGTCTGAGGGGGGAATATAATTAAATATATGAGCTGCAATCTGCCTTTGTTGGCACTCTTTCATTTTTCTAGAAGCAAAGTAAAATTCCAGATCCAGTCTCCTCACAGATTTCCTTTGAATTGAAAGTTCTATTTCAGGACTTTTGACTCAGAAGTGAGATGTTAAGGCATTTTTAAAATAGAAGAATTAAGACCCAAACCTTTGGCATATGTTGGCTGGTTACCTGTGTGAACAACTCCCTGTTGGAAGGACCTTGTACCTGGAGCTCCAGCCCACTGGAGACTCCCTGAAGGTCCAACAAAACACTCAAATAATTTTGCATGTGCAACCGAGGTCCTTCAGTGTGTGAGCTTCCTACCAACCTTGGGTAAAGTGCAGTATTCTTTTACTACAAAAAAACCCCAAGTTCGGAAGAGACTGAGAAATTTCTTAAGCTGTTGTGCTGTGCCTTTACTGGATTATCTGTTTCTAGAACTCATCAGAGTCACAAAAAGGTTCCTGGCAGTAGCCCAGTGTTTCTGGAAGGAATCCCAAGCTGCATGAGAGAACTTGCAGCGACTGCTTTTAAAAAAGCAAAGTTTGTTTTTATTTGACAGCAAGTTCAGTGTCCCTGTAAATGCAGCTCATTGGAATTCTTTGTTTTAGGGCAAAGTGCAGAAAAACACAACACAGGAATAAAGCAGGGCAGCTTTCCCTGAAGGTTCGCTTGTTCACAGAGGACAAATTTGCCAGATGAGACTTTGTGCTGCTGTTTCTGACCTCTAGATCCCTCTTAAAAAACAAATAAAAGGGATTGTTTGGTTCTGAAGTAAAATAGGTTTGCTTTGCCCTAATGTGGTGGAAGCCACGTATCTTAGTTTTTAAAAACAGCCAGTTTTAAACCCCCTGCCTCAAAATCTGAAAAGTAGCCTCCCCCCATCCAATTTCTAAATATTTGGCTATTTCCAGATTCTTTTTTAGATTGGTTCTTAACAAAAGTACTGAGGGGTGGGGTAAACTTGCTTTGGGCTGAAATGCAGATTTTAGTCTTTAAATTCAAATGTTTTGTTTCTTGGCCGGAATAATTTGTGCTTCATGTAAAAAGAAATCCAGCTCTTGATGATCTTGCTCAGATGGGAGGTGGTGAGGACTGACAGGTCTCCCTCCCCACCCCAGTTTCCAGGACACTCCAGGGTTTGGGTCATCATGTAGGACAGCAAGACTTTGGTTTCAGTTTCCCTCTTTGCATGAGAATATTCTCAAACCCCAACTGAACCATGAAGCCCAGAAAGCCAGAAGAAATTTTCCCACTTTACTCAGCCAGATGCCACCCCTGGAAGTGTCCAAGGCCAGGCTGGGCAGAGCTCTGATCAACCTGGTCTAGTGGAAGGTGTCCCTGCCCATGGTGGGGGTGGAACTGGATGGTCTTTAAGGCCCTTTCCAACCAAACCATTCCATGATTCCATGCTGACCAGTTCCAGCTGAGGTCAATAGCTCCTTTGCTGCACGGTGTCTTTCCAGCACCAGAAGGAACCTGGGAATGAGGGGCAGGAATCCAGATACTCAGGTTGCATCATTCCTTTGGAGTCACTCCTTTGACTTCAGTTGTGGTAATGATTTATAGCAGATGATCTTTAGAGCCAAAAATAGAACTGTCTTGGCCTGACCTCAGACATGGATATTGGATCACCTCCCTGGATTTGTGGTATTGCACTTCATAAACAGTCATATTATTTCCCTCAAGTTTTTCTTTGTAAGAATCTGGAATTTTCAGGAGAGGCCACAGGGAGTAGATGCTAATTTTTGATACCCAAATCCCAGAGTTAGACTTTTTCAGAAGATCTCAAGGGGAAAACTTGGTAAGTTTTAGGTGTTATGTAAATGACAGCTATTACTGTTCTCTCTCAGCACATCAGATCCTGAGTTGCTGTTTGAATTATCTAATCACTGTCAGCCCGAGTGGTTGCAGTGGAGGCAATTACAGCAGTACTTTCAACTAATTCCTATTCATGGAGTAGTAGTGAAAGTGTTGATTTGAGGGATAAGTGAGCTCCCTATTCATGATGGAAAAGGCACCTAAGAGCATTTGGGGCTGGTTCTTGTTGCTGCTGTCAAAACAGCATTAGCAACATAAACAGTTCACGTGCTGTCTTCAACTCAAGTCTCAGGCACGTGCTAGACCGTGGTGGCATCAAGGACCTAATTATTGGCTCTGTTTTGTAGCTCATAACGGGGTCATGATGAGCGCCCTGTCTTGGGCACAGCATCATCTCTCCTGTGCATTGACTGGAGGGCTTTCAGGGCTTCTGGGCAGATGCTGCCAAATTGGTTATTCACAGACTCATGGATTGGTTTGGATTGGAAGGGACCATTAAAGGCCACTCAGTCCAATCCCCTTTTTCGCTGTTTTATTTCTGGAGGTTTAAAGCATCATGTAGTTTATGCTCTGTTGAGATGGTGCTGGCTGTTCACCTGTGGGAGCACAGAAATGGGACTGTGCTAATAGCACCCATTCTTGAGGGCTCCACTGCTTCATTTTTGAGGGTGCTAAGTGGGTTTCCAGTGAGGGGGTTTCTATTCTTTTAAGTTTGTTTATAGAAGCTCAGGAGAGAGGAGTTAACATCACCTCACAAACATTAATGGGATTCCTAACTGTGTGTTCAGACAAAAAAATCGTTAATTATCTCAAATCAAAACACGTTGTTCTACTTTAAACTGCTGTTGTGGTAGGATCTCTCTGCCCAGAGATTCCCTAAGAGGAGAGAGCTGACCAGCTCCTAGAGAGGGAGGAGGAAGCTCAGGGGAGGGACCTCCCTGACCTGCCTTTCTTCCAGTTTGCTCATTGGCATCACAAATGCCATTTGTCCTTTATAGGTTTAGTTACTTGGGTTGTGATGATGTTTTCCTCAGGCTCTGACATAATATTTCAACCCTGGGACTCTTCTCTTAGAGAATTGTTGCAGTGTGGGATTGGAACCAAAACTCAAAGACTGCTGTTTCTGTTGTGGACTGATTTGACTTTTGCATCCTTGGAAGTACTTACATATGCCAGGTTTTTTTTTTTTTTTTTGGGGGGGGATGCTTTGTTTTGCTTTTTTTTTTTTTTCTCAGCTGTGGGGAACAAAATCCTCTGAAGGCAAGTGCAGAAAGACTCTTTCAGGAGAAGTAGGTGCATTTCTAAATTGTGCTTTTGGTGTAAGCTGTCATTGTGGTCAGTGTCTAGTCATTTTTGAACAATTCAGTTCAGACCCTTGCATGAAAAATAACAGGTTGAGTGGCCAATAAGCTGGAAAACTGGAAGAAAAGCTTGATAGGTTCAGCTGGTGCCTGGCATGGGAGCAGCCTGTCCATATGTTAAATGTTGGTGCAGCCAAGTGGGCCAGGAGTGTGAGTGCCCACGTGTGAGGCAGGATGGAAAAGCTGGGGGAGAATGATACAGCTGGGAAAAAACAGCTAAAAACTGGTGAGAGAAGCACAGCTAGTCAGCTTTTTGGGCGCAGAAATGAAATTATAGCTACTTTTTATGAACATAATTGTGCTGAATACGTTGATTAGAACCCATCAGGGGTTCAGAGGATGAGCTGCCTTGTCTGTGAGTTACCTGTCAGGTGCTGGCTTAGCTGGGGCAGTGAGATGTGTTGATGGGTCTTCATCACTTATCACTGCAGTGGATTTGTGCTGTGAACTACTTGATAATGGCTGGTCTGATTTTTTTCTTTGAAATCACACTGATTTTTGGTGGCAGTTTTGATTTATTTCTAACTTACCAGGTGTTACTTTGGAATTACTGATTAAGTGTGGGCTGTGAACAGTTGGCAAGGCTTATAATTCTTTCCTTCTATACAGGCAGCATGTTAGCAGAGCTGAGAGCCATGGTTTGAATGTAAGAGGATGGTAGAAAGTGCACCACAGTTAAAGAATGGGTGGGAAGATTGCAAGAAATGGTGACAGAAGTTGGAGAGATGAAGTGACTTAATGCTGTAGATGGAAAGGTGTTTTTTCAACCACTCTGCACAGAGTCTGCCCCAAATGACTTGAATATAAATTCGGCCAGACCCTGGAAGCAAAATTCCAGGTGTCAGAATGGTCCTTGGTTCTGCAGATAAACGATCTGCTTCTTCATTACCAGTAATTCAGTTCCTTCTCCCTTTTGTATCCTCAGTTTCCCTTATACACAGAAGACACACAGTGTCACCTCTCATGCCTGTGTGATGGAAGGTCCATTCCTACCTGTCTGCTCAAGCTTTCCTCACATCTCCCTTAGGCATGCAAGACAGGAAGCAGGAGCAAATCCACGTGGAAAAATGTGCCACTGTTTCCTAGAAAGCCCTGCATTCATTTGCAAGCACAATTACAGCTCTTCCTTCCAAGCACCTTCCTAAGAATTTCTGGTTGTATTATAATTCCAAAGAAATAGGATGTAACTCCCCATTAGCTTAGTTTTATGTTTGCTCTAAGCTACTGAGTTATTAATTGTAGCTCCAGAGCAACAGCTGATTTATGAGTTTAACTCCTGTATGAATATTGGTGATATTCAAGCCATTGCAGATGCCAAGTGTACTCTCTTGTGTTTCCAGATTTACCAGAGATGCTGGTTAGTATTCAAAAAAGCTTCAAGCAAAGGGCCAAAGAGGCTGGAGAAGTTCTCAGATGAACGAGCTGCTTACTTCAGATGCTACCACAAGGTAAGACACGAGGTTGTTTCTCAGTTTGTTATTTGATGTAATATCAAGAATAAAACCTCAAGTTTACATGCATTAATTGGGCTGAAAATTGGAACTGTTTTTACTCTCAAGGTCCTAAACCCGTTTGTATGTTCCTTCACTCAGTGAACTAGAGGCAGAGTAAGTATTCTATTTTCTGCTTTGTACAAACATCTCGCTAAGTGGAAAATACCTGTATTTTTAAAGCAGCTGTCCTTTCCTCAGGCCTTTAAACTCAGATCTGAAATATTTTGCAATGGCTGCTGCTCTTCATATTTACAGTAACAATCATCCAGAGGAACATGTGAATTCAAAAAGCTGGGCACTTTAAGGTTGCCATTTTACTAGGATTTTGCATCTGTTGGAAGACAGTACCAGCTACAGACATGAAAGACAACATGCACATTTTTCTTGTAATAATGGTGTGAAAGCCTTTCTTAAATTAATTGGTGTTAAAAGAATGAAGTTTTTCCCTCCAGTCACTTCTCTAGAATTTTGTGCACCTTTCATATTTCATATTCGCCTGAGAATTTACATGTGTAACTCTCCTGGGCATGGAGATGAAAATAAGAAAGCCTTTAATTTATAATCATTGCTGGCAAAAGTTTAATATATTGGAAGATTAGGAATTATGTGCAAGCTCAGCTTGAGGGTGATCTGTGCTTCACTTTGACATACATTTAAGAGGAAATCTTGAGGGAATACTGAATCTGAATTCAGACTTGTCTGTCTACATGGAATGTGTAATTGATTGGTCATAAAACCTGTGGCTATTTCTAATAAGTCAGGCCCAGAAATAGTTCATTCACATTTACATTAAGCAACTTGCAGAAGTAATGAGTGGTGATTTTCCACTTGATGTGTGTGAGGGCTGCACAGTGTGTGAGAGAATTTCCAGCATTGACTCTGTCAATTATTGCTGCAAATCTCTGTTTCTTCCATTGTATTAATGCAATATTTTAGCAGCACACACTGACTTGGAGTTCACACTGGGTAATGGATATGAAATCCAAGAGGAATCTAAAAGAGGCTGAACTTTCTTCTCTTCTTTCAAAGAATTCTATAGGTTAACACATATTTGCATGTATATAACCCACCAGCAGCCTGGACCTGCAGACTAAAGCACCATGGAAAGTCTCATTGGCTTAGAGGGATTTTCAGTTATAAGTCAAGCTTAGTCTATATTTAACAGTTATTTAATTTGAGACTATTGCTTCTTCTATGAATTTAGTTTCTGGGTTTCTCAAGTAGCTTATTTGACAGGAGTAAACGATGGTCAAACTCCACAGTCAGTCATTGGGAATCGACTCTTTGCCTTAGTGGCTGCACAGATCATGGTTTCTTCCTCTGAAAACTGTAACAGTGTGTAATCACAGCTGGGATATTAATAGTTATAGACATTAAAGCAACCCCTAGTCTTGGCTGAAGTCTTGAGAAACACTGTCAGAGCAGTAAGACATCTTATGCACATATTGTGTCTGTTTTTTGTAGGAATTGTGTCAGTCACAGAATCATAGAATGGTTTGGGTTGGAAGGGACTTTGCAGATTGTAGCGGGGAAGGATGGCAAACCTGAAAAACCAGTGCACTGATGAAAGCTTAACACAAACAATATTTATTACAAAGAAGTGGCCAAGTAAACAGGAACCCGAGAGAGAGAGAGAAAAGGAGGGAAATAAGCCCTAAATACAACACCCCAGTCACTCAGGTGCTGTACTTATGAGTGCCTAGAATTCCCCTCGGAGTGTCGGCAGGCTCACACGATAGCGGCCGTCCCCGCGAAAGGCAACGTTGTCCTTCGTGTGAAGCTTGAGTCCCACTCCCAGCACCAGCCATCTGCTTTTTATACAATTAATTGGGGATGTCTGTCTGGGCAGGTGTGGCCAGCACTGCCCAGCCAGAGGCCTTCGGTCCCTCCCCCTGTTATGCAGGTGGCATCTCTTCTGCACACACGTGGGTACCCTGGAATGTCCCTGTGCCCACATGCTGCACCTCAAGGGGTCTTTCCTGAATGAGTCTGGGGGCTTACTTCATCCTCCTCCTCTTCACTTTCTCCTTCAAATGCCCTTGAAGGGCCATCAACCAATAGTGAGGTACTAATTAATTATAATGCTTACAAAATGCTTCCTTCAAGGACTAAGTTCTCGTTTATCAGTGCTTGTTTCCTTATAACTTGGCAGGAAAAGAACAGATTCTCACAGGTGGCTGTGCCAAACACAGACCAAAAAACAGCAGCATGTAATTAAGCCCAAATACACAGATCATCCAGTGCCACCCCCTGCCATGGGCAGAAACATCTTCCACTATCCCAGGTTGCTCCAAGCCCCATCCAACCTGGCCTTGGACACTTCCAGGGATGGGGCTTCTCTGGGTAAACCTGTGGCAGTGACTCACCAAAATCTAGGGGTTATTTCAGGCAGGAAGAAGATCTGAACCCAAATGTCTCGAGGGGAAGTGGGCAGAGAAATGTTTACCTTTTGGAGGAGTAAAGCACAGCATGGAGCGAGTGTTCCCGACAGCGCTGGTTCCAGCAGGGGGAACTGGTAGATTTTATCCTAAATCTCCTTTGGGGGCTCATGTGAAGCAACTGGGGTCTGAGTCTAAAGCTGGATACACCCCAGATGATCAGTCTGAGCTTTGATGTTTTTTTGGTGTCTGGCTGAGCTGCCAACTCCAATCACTCCTTCCCCTGAACCTCTCTCTGCTTCAGGGCCCAGGTACATAGACCCAAATTACAGGGTAATTGCTGAGGTTTCTGCCAGGGGAGCCTGTAATCCTGCTGTGTAATCCAGAGGGATCTCTCTTCCTGGCATCCAGGCGACCTGGATGCTGTGGATGTGCTTGAGAGGCTGGACAGCGATCTCTGCCCTGGGAATGTTGCCACTGGCATTTGTTCTCCATGTTTATTGCCCCTCTTGGCCACACTGGAATGATGCCTCAGTGCTGTGGGGAGGTTGAGATGGGATTTCCCGGGGCAGTGGGGTGTCCCTTCTGCAGTGACTCTGGGGCTCTGCAGTGTCCCCATTTGTTCCCTGTGATGGAAAGGCTGCTTTCTAGTTGTAAAATCATCAGCTCTCCAAGCAGACAGGTCCCCGTTTATTTTTAACAAACCTCGCTGAAAGGCAGCTAATGAATATTAAACAGCATTTTCTGGGCAAAATATGTTCACTTACAAAGAGCACAGGTGGATAAAAATGAGTTTCTTTTTTAAATAAGCCTTGTAAACGTGTGAAATTCTAAGGTGGTGAATGATACAGCTTCTAACAGTGTTAAATATGAGCTGCTGAAAAAAGAGAACATGTCAGTGCTGCTCTGTACCCCTCTGTGGATGAACTGATCCTGATAAAAACCATAGTTAATTATTAATAAAACCTCCAACAAATAACTGAATATGGCAGAGCCTTCAACTATCACTACTTGTCACCTGCTTTTGATGGTATCAAGGCATCATCCACAGGTCTGGGATAGTCACTGCTCTTTTGATACACGTTTTGTCAGCAAGAGCAGCTGTTGTGATAACAGCTCCATGGTGTGGAGAGGCTTTGCTGTGACAACTCTCATTCTGTCACTCCTGGACAGAGACTGCTGTCAGTGTCTGTGACGATGAAGTTAATCCTGCAAATGAGAAGCCCAGCCAGTCCTGTTAACGTGTCAAGTGTCACTGTGCCATAAACTTGTGCTAATGAAACTGAGGGCGAATGTGGTTCAGTTCTGAAAGATGATGCTGTAGGAGGAAAACCTCACCTACAGATTACCAGTGTTTCAGAAATAATGGTCATTAACTTCCTACCTGGGTTCTGAAGTGATTCTCAAATGCTGTTGAAAGCAGCATCAAATCTGGAAGACTGAGGAGCCCCTGCTCACCCCATCGATCTCGGGAGAGGTTTAATCCATCATAAAACTGTAAAGGGTAGAAAAAGGAAAATGATGAATGGAGCTAATTTTTCAGTAGCACCTGCCTCCTTCACTGAAATGTTTCATTCTGTTACTATTTTTTTTTTTTCTTATGATGGATTAAAGTGCAAATGTTCCTTTGATTTATCAGTAGAAAGAGGCTGACTGGAGCACTGGGGCTGGTGGCACCCTGGTGGTACCAGTCACTGGGCTAAGATTATCCAGCAGCTCCTTGGCACCTTGGTCCATCAAGGTCTTGTCTTTATCCATCTGAATTCTGGATCCCCAGAAGTGTTTCTGAGGCATCTCAGTGGTATTTTGGAGAGTCCAGTTGGTTTGCATTTGATGGATGTATCCTTGTCTGCAGCCCTGCACCAGGACCTGAACTTGGACATCCTCACCACCAGAAGAGTTAAAACAGAAACAGAAAAAAAGTACCTTTTTTTTTTTTTTGTGTAATATTGACCTTTAAATACTTTCTAATTTTGTTCTGTTTTTTTTTAAAAGTGGGAAGATTGCCGTGTCCTAAAATACAGGCTGTCTGAGAACAGTCATCTGTAGCTTATGAGGAGAACTGGGAATTTGCATACACAAAGTAAATTGCCCACTTAATTCATTGGGTCCCACAAGGGAGAGAAAATAATTAGAACCCAGGCTACAAAATCTATGCAGAGAGTTGCCTTTCAGGTAACTCTCTAGTTTTCACTTGTTAAATGTAAATAAGCAACCATAAATTGCCACATGCTTTAACAATACTGGAGAAAGGAAGAAATTTTAATGTCTCCAGGTTACTTTTTTGACTTTGCAATGTACCAGAAGAATCCTTAATATTCCAATACAAACCCAACTAATTGCGTAGTGCTGACAGGAATACACCAGTTCCTTGAGGGGATCTAAGTTTTAATCCGATTGTATTAATCTTGCCTTGAAACAGCAGAAGTAATTTAACCAGTCTTTCTGTCTAGTTATGGAATAATCCATTTGGAAAATTGAATTCTGTAATTTGTAACTGTTTTCCAGGCAAAACTGTATCAGTAGCAAATGAAGTGTTTAAAGTATGACCACTCTGCTAATAACTGGCTGTTAAAC